TTTTTTACTTTCCCTCCCGTTTCACACTCAGCTACCAGTTGTCTATTTTCTACTAAATATTGATGCGCTGAACACAAATATCAACTTCATATCCGTCGCAAATTAATAGTTTTTGAAATGGTAGTGTCAATTGCCACCGAGTGACGCGGTGACAATTGACAAAAATTGACTTTTTGTCAATTACCACCGAGTAAATTGGAGCTCTTTTGCGTTGGTGGGTAGATCTAGCTTATTGTGCTCGAGTGCTCGATGTTGTGCGGCCGTTCGCCTCTCTGTCCCTCTGTGTGTGTGTGTGTGTGTGTGTGTCTTTTCCTGATCCCCGTCCCCCGATTTATGTTCCCTGATATAACGTGAATTTCTGCTTGAGTTTGTATGCGTTTGTGACCTTCTACTTCTAGAATTGCCTGTGTTGGTTCTACACCAAAGTGTAGGCTAAGGCTAGCCTAGATCGAGGCCTACGTCTCATTGAAAACACGCCAAGTTGGTACCGTAGCTCTAGACTAGATGCTCGTCCAATGAAATTAGTTGAGAACAAATTGACCCATTAGACACACATTATAATGCTAAAGATAGTGTTGTTTCCAGACTTGACACCGCTTCACTCTGTGGCAATTGACGCTACCTTTTGAAATATTTGATTGTTTTTAACCGAGATAGACATGCTTTGTTTGGACAAATCGGGGGGTTCCAAAGGGGCCTGCCCCACTGCCACTGGAGTAAAAGAAAATCTGGGGGGTTACAGGGGGGCTGTTTTTACCCATAATTTGATATTTTACAGTTAGATTTGAAATTGTCTTGAAAATAATTGATTTGCGACAGTTTCAGAGGCACTTTATGATTATGTGTGATCTGCAGCAAACAGTACAGCAGTTTGACCCCTGAAACAGTGCATCTGTGTGCGGGCATATTAGGTTCTAGGAATTGATATTGTCACTGTGGGCATGAGGACAGTGGGGTTAATAAACTAACTAGATTCTATAGATCTAGGCCTCAGTATGAGAAATAGAGTCAATAGAAACCAAGACCATGTACAGTTGAGTAGGCTGCAGTCCGTAGTCTAGTTTCCCACTCCTCTGAATCCACATTTATGTCCATTTGCATACTGTCACACACTGGAATAGTCAACCAAAGCTCATGTTATCAACAGGTACCTTATTTTGATGAACTGGGTTCCATTCCATTTTCATGTCAAACTGATCAACCAAAAAGTCGTTGAGCAACTGATCAACGCAATGCTACGCTAGTCCGCTAGATCTAGAGTAATTTCTTGTACGCTGTGTACTGTGTGTACGCCTAGTTTTTTAAATCTCCGGTCCGAGTTTTTTAACAATCTGATAAACAATTGTTGCAAGAGAATCGATTATGAATACTCGTCACGACTAGGCTATTTCCTGAAGACGGTGTAATAACTTAACTCAAGGAAGTTTTAAGCTCCTTGACTTAACTGCATAGATCTTCAAAGTGTTAGGCCTATATGTGAAAGGGATGAGGTTTATATGAAATGACACAAAGTGCCAAAGAAGATTTTTATTTTATAAAATTTCTTAACAAAAAAATCGTAAAAACAGACACTTAGATCTGCATTACATTGTCTTTATGAGATGGTTCCCATCTAGTTTCTTGCCAGTTTCTTAATCAAAAAGACTTTCCAATCAGCTGATGACTGGAAGATTTAGAAAGCCAACCGTTTCGAGGATCCTGGAGAGCAGGGAGGAGCAGAATATGTGGCATTGTACCGCCTGCAATGATACCTAGTCTCCAACCAAGAAACTAAGTAAGTGGCTAAAAAAAATTAATTCAAAAGACCGCCTTTCCAGAGCACAGTAAATTAACATTATGTTAAACAATAATTCACCTTTAACTTTATAAAACAGTTAATTGGACAAACTTGCTTAGAGTTAAAGAGAAATCTTTTCTGTTCAAACATATATAAAATGAAGATGCTGTTAAAATGCCCCTTCACTTTCATAAAAGATACAAATGATGATTTTAAAATCTTTGAAAAGGCCTAGGCGGATATTATAGTATCGATATCAAAATATATCGGATCGGTTAACTTAAAGAGGTCGATCCCGACTGGCGCGAACGGGCGAGTCACGCGACGAATCAGTGACGCAAATCTTCGTAATCTAGGTTTTGTCGTCGCTGATGGACTGCACTGATGGGAGGGGAAAAAAGAAAAGTTGATGAGTTAGTGAAATGGACGTAGATCTAGTATAATATTATTATAAGGCTATAGGCCTAGACGATCAAGGAGGTTACAGTAGATCTACATGGGTGAAATAAAGTGACGGTACAAAATCCTGTGTTTTCGAATCCTTTACTGTACCGGTATTTCCCAAATGGCAATC